AAAATCGTGTTAAATTTTATTGACTAGAGGCGCTGTACAATACGCGAGCTCGAGAGGTTGTTCGGGCCTGTCTAAATCGTAATTCAAATTGTACTCTTTCGTAATTCAAACGCGTCAAACGGATGTCTGAACAAAAATCAAATTACTCGTCGGACAAATAATTTGGTTCTAAAAAAGGATGTCTTGTCATGCTTTAGAAAAGGGGGTTAAAGTTGAGGAGTTCATGGAGCGTTTTTGAAAGGTTCTAATTTGTGAACGACCAATTTTTCAAACTCACTTGTATTTTAAGATAGTATAAAGCTCAATACACCACATCCATTTCCACTCATCCACTACTCCAAAATGTCGACAAACGTTACTCTCTTGCTTGCGCTGCCCTTGATCGTGTTCTTATAGAAAGTAGATTCGTCACTACTAGTGCGTTCGACCAGAGACATTATAGAAACGCATGTAGTCGATCAAAGTCATGACGGTGACAAAATTTGTGATGCAGGAGGAAAGTGTGTTTGTAAATTCGACCATCCCGATGGCAACGAAGTGGAATACAACTCTGACTTTGATGTATGTTTAACCCATTTCGAAGGACAACAGGTTGATAGGTTTTAGAGAATTCGGATGGATTCAAAAAAATGTACAGCATCTTACGGGTTTGCAGTCAACGGCAAAAACAAGTATGCCCACAAAAAGACCGGTGGTTTAACCAAGACTTCCTCTGTGCACTCGAAGGCAAGTATGACAGCAGAAATTTTGCTACTGCTCCAGAGCGCAAGGAAACCCATCCAACTCAACGAGTGTGTCTGGAAGGCCCAAGTTCGGCGCGAATCTGCATAGATCAAATAACCGTAAAGCTTGTCAATCTTTCTCACAAACACAACCCGACAGTGGATGTAAGAATATTTTCTGTGGCCCGCAAGTCGTTCGATGTTGATGTCCAACGTTTTTTACACGGGTATCTGTAGTGGGGAACAAAAGCAAACAACATTGTTGACGGCCTAAAAAGGTGTTATTTTCAAATGTAAGCTTGTTTCAAAGAATATCTTTAATAAGATCGTTCAGCACAAAATAGATAAACTCTAACGATAGGATGAAATGACCGCCTTGATGCGCAAGATTGTAACAGATGGAGCTATGCATTGTGCCAAGATAGACGAACAACATTATCGTACGCATATACATTTATTCTCAACGCATTTCCAAAGATATCACGACATGAGCAAACAAATCATGTTGTTCATATGGACTGTACTTAGCGATCAAACCAATATGGCATAAAGATGCCCCACATCGTTACCAGTACTAATTCGAACAAAAAGTACATTCTGGCCTACTTTTTCATGAGTTTCACGCTCAAAGCCGATTACAAGTGGGTGCTACATGCATGCCTGGACTTTGGAGTAATTTTGGAGCCCAGCGCTATTCGTATGGACGCGTAGCAAGCATTAAATTAACGCTATTGACGACATTTTCCGAAAACTCAATCCATCCACATGCTATGTGTTTGGTACATGGTCATAAATATCGCGGCACACCACAAACCTTTGTCATGTCACAGACCAGGATGATGAGAATATATTGACCTAAGACGGTATTCAAAGACGGACTTTACCCTTTAACTTATGTCGCGTTCTGAAGAAGTCTTCAAACACGAATGGAACGACAATAAGTCAATAATTTCGGTTTGAGTGGCAGCCTACATTCAACATCAATGGCTTGACACACCAAAGAGCGATTTCGTGAACCATGGATCTTAGATGTCTTGCGTCTTGAATATCGACACACCTCACGGCTCGAGAGTGCACACCGCTGTCTGAAAGAATTTCTGGGAATCGCTGACCAATATCTATTTTTCAATTTACCTACAACTGAAGCAGCGTGCCGAGGGCTACTTAAATGGTGCAAGAAAAGCGCGTGAGCAAGAGCTCAAATCAAGACGAACAGCCTCTTACCCATTACTAAGTGAACTTGATCGTCTTGTCTCGATTACCGCGTCGAGTCTACTGCATAAATAGATCGAACTTGCCAAAATTGATTGAAAGAAAGATATGCAGGCTGGCGACGATCACAATTCGCCCGTGTGTTACGATATTTACTAGAAAAAATACGGCCTCTTTTGCTCACATCCCTTACTTGAGCTCATCCGATGCGGCACCAAAATTGGCGCAGAACATATCACAGAGTCATACTGGTTTCTTTGAGAATGAAGCAATTTGTCCAATGATTCTACCACCCTTTCAAGCTCCGATGTCTCAACGACCTCATGCGAAACGTAAAGTGTTAACGTCTACGGAGATTGAAGAGGACCGCCTTAAAAAAATTAGACGATATCGTCAGTGTGGTGGTTGTCAAGAGCATGCGCATAATAATATTACTACCTGTCCTAAGCGCAAAAAAAGAAAACCCTTCGCCAGTCGCCAGCAGATCCTCTGCAAGTATACCGTCATCTACAAGTGAACAAGTACGTCAGAGGCAACACCATATACTTAGATCTCTGAGTAACTGACAATATCGACCTAAACCGCAAAAACAACTCATTCAGCCCCAACAACATTACCAGCCGTACACATACAAACAGTAGCCTAAACACCTCTTTTCTCACTCCGATCAAGATTCGTTCTCTAGTTACCGCCAAAGACAATAAATGGATCTACAATATGCTCGCTCCCACGAACCTACGACCAGCAGCATCAGATTTATGATTCTCAACGACTAGGCTCTGCAGAAATATTGTACCTAGCCACTCCAGTCGAAGATGATGCAGTACCACACGAATCAGGACCCGTCGTCTCTCTTGGTCACCTTAGGCCCTTCCGACTTCTGCTAAGCAATTAGGTTGTATAAATATAAGCAATCATAACCTGCAAATTACTGTACCTCAGGTCGTATCTGAATGTGTATCAGCACCCACAGCACAATAATTAATGCAAGCAATCCAAATTGTAATTTTTACTCCATAGTGTACCTTATTTATTGCATCTTCCTTTGCAGAAGATATATCGATCTTGATGTGATGGGACTTGCATATCCTGGCTTCCGGAGGGATGTAGAATAAGATCGATCCTTAACTTGTAGAGGGACGACGGAGGCGGTGTTTTGATCACGTCAGAATCTTCTGTCGTCATGCGCTCGTCTCTTGATCGTTTTATGACGGTTTTTAGAGTGTGCAATGCGCTAAAATTTGGAACTTAATCTTTCATTTATCCGGATAATATTCTGACATTAGTCTGGACAATCGTTTGACGCGTTTAAAGTACGGAATAGTAAGATTTCAAGTACGGATTAGACACGCCCGGGTTCTCCCCGAATTAGACAATATACGTAGAAGATGATCCTTTTCGGTCTGCATACATTTATTATATGGTTTACACATAGTGTGTCGTAATCTGAATACTTGTGCCATATTTTTTTGGCAAATTTGACTTCTTTAAAGCTACTTTTGCTTGAAGAGAATACCAAGATCAACAACATGATTAGTTGATTAGGGTATTCCTTTTGTAGGAGAACTGAAAGGATAAGACTAATTTTTAAAGAGGAACGAGAAGAACTACCTCATTTGATTATAAAAATGTAAGAAGTAACCTGCAAAGTTGACGTAAGAATAATGCATGAAAGTTTAAAAAACATTTATGCACCTAGAATAAATTCGAGCTTTCAACGATGTACTCACGATTAAAATGGTCCCTTAAGGCTCATGAAATCTACAAGTTTATATATTAACGAAAGAAGTAAAAGGACACGTGGACAATGTAAGCGAAACGATGAATATGATCATGTCTGGGATCAATCACGTACCTTTTCATCAAGCATAATTTCTCAAATACCCTTTTAATTCATAAACTTGAACTGTTATCTTCTGTGTCTGACGCCAGAAATTTTGCAAGACGAAAAGGTTAGATGACGCTTTAAGCGCAAGTACAATTTGTGGCGATTGTTCGATTAATATTCCACGTTGCACCTAATATTTAATGCAGATCTTCACCGGTTGTCGTCATCGGAAGTAGAGCGTCGCCTCGAGGGTACTGCTGACACCATGTATGCGGTGAGAGAGTAAAATGTCAATATGGCGCATATACAAAGCAATGAAAGATGATATTTACGATTGAGTCAAGGAAGTATTAGACGCGGATAAACAAGGCAGCAGAAAGAGACAAATACTCAGAAAGTGACAGGAACTTTTGATGCTATTGCAGCGAGTGTTGCAGATGATGGTGAAGACATAAAGCGGAACATTTGTCGGTAAATCCCACAATGCCGATGGAGTCGCTACAATGGTTCGGCTTCAGGTGGTAGTGTTGTTTGTGTGGATCTGAAGACATTCATTTAAAGATGTGATGGTAAGTGCAATATCGGCATTTTTGCTGTGAAGAATCTATTTACACATGCGTACGCTGCATAACACGATGGCACGATAAAAAGCTATATTTTGTCAAAGAAGGGCTCTATGCGCTGAGAAAGAATGCTGATGTTCGCACCACAGTGTCTGTGTAGCCTCTGGGAGAGGCACTTGCGTGTCAAAGCTTTTTGATGTAAATTAGGTGACAAAATGGATACGAATGTCCGATACGACATCCCCATCCCTTTGTGCTTCGAATACCTTTGTCAGTCTGCTACGACATTTGTAGAAGGTCAACGACAAGACCGGTATTTCTCATTGCCATCCAAAACGCGTTACGTTTGAAGGTGTAGTATACATCTTTGGTGCGTCTTTTATCTTCGTAATATTTTGACCCTGTTTTTATCGTGCAATGCATCTATTTATTTTTGGAATTATTTGGTGCAAATTTTGTGCATCTCCCGCTCACAAAAATTTCAATTATCGATCGTCCAACATAGAGTGAAGTGATTACTGCAACACAAATAGTGGTTGAGTGACATGTAGAAGAATAAATCATCTCAAACGTAACTCGGTTCAGTGACACGAGCTCTCGCTATTCCCCTCAGTATAGTGACCGAAACACTTAGACTCGGGCTGACTCGTCAGACCTCATTCTCAGTTCGTTCAAATGAAGAAAAACGCGTCGCTCACGACGTCGTGCTCCGCGTCGACCTCACAGCAACGCGACCGCTCACTGGACGCCGACAATGATGCGTCCATCCACCCGCACGGGGCCAATGCGGACGGGCCGCAGCACGACATGTTTGGTGGTTCGTAACGATAGCGATCGCTCAGTGACATTGCTGCCTCTCGAATTCTCTCGCTTTTCTCACTTTCTCTCTCTCTTTTTTTCTCAATCTCTGTATTGACTCACTGAATTGCCCCGTGTGTGTAATCGTAGATTGGAACCTTAACGCCCTCATGATGTTCATGTTGCTGCTACACTTCATGCAGTACGCTATGCGCCAGCCTTGTGGGTGCTGAGGGACTGGTCGGGCGACACGCGCTAGTGGCTGAATAGCTTAAGCTGCCAAGATGACTTGGGTATTTAGCGTAAGCTACTGAATGAAAGAGAGGGGAGAGCTTGTGTCGCTTCGTGCATTTCGTGAGCTACCCGTGTTTGTATCGTTCGCTGGAACTTGCTGTCTGTACACACTGATAGGTGACATCAAGCGTGCAAAGCAGAGCGCTTCAGTGACTTACAACGAGGGCCTCGCACAAGTCTGACTCTCGCTGTTCCTTCGAGAGACTCATACCACAGAAGTCGCGTCAATGGATGCAGATATAGACTCTCTTGACCTATGCGTCAAGCTCCGGTCTCGTGGCAAAACGACCTAGTACAATCTATCGACGTTTACTGTGCTGCCGCCACCTGAACACCATGAGACGATCGATTGAAGGACGTTCCGAGTCGACAAGCGCAACCAGGGGGCACGATCGCGTCTGGCATGCCAGCAGTCTGTTGATCGGTGGACTGAACCTCATTTCTCTGCAAGCAGACTGCGCGTGACAAATCGCTGTGCGTTTTCTCGTCGCACGCACACGGCCATGCACGCAGCCGTAATCATGTGTGACAAGACTTTACATCTGTCTTTTGCCCAGCACTATCGAGGTGCTTGCCGCGGACGCGCTCTATGTTTGCAGCCACAACCACGCGTATCCAGACAATACATGTGCATTTGCCAAGCACTGTCGTGGTGCTGGTCGTGGAATTGGTAGCTCATAAGCATCTTCTGTTTACCGGCCTAGTTCGAGTCTAGAGACTTGTCTGCAACAGGTAAGTCGTTCGACTTGCCTGCTTTGTCCTGTGTCATTCGCTGTCGTCAACCAGGGGTTTGAAGAGCGTCAATAGAGCTGATTCCCCCCCCCACCCGCACGTCACTATCCCGCTATTCCCCCTTTAATCGGGCGCCTGTCACTATGCAAGTCGCAGGAAGCCTTAGGCCACACACCCAATCTGGAGCGTTGTGGCTGCAATCGCAATTACGCGGGACAGCAGCTGAGCCCCTGGACCCCTTATCAGAGGGTTTTCGCCACGGAAGTCATCAGCGCCCGGCCTGTCGCTGTACACACATTTCGTCCAATGGAATTACGCCCCATCAGAAACGTTCAATGCTTCAAGTGTTCGAGAGCGAATCATGTCGTGTCTGGACCGGGTCCGCGGACGTGCCCCTACTCGCTATAGAGGCCGCAAAAGAGCACGAGATGGAGGCCATTCCTTTCTGCGTGCAGATCTGGCTACAAAACGAGCCGAAGGTCGCTACAGTGGCTGACAGAAGCCCTGTTCAAGAAGGTCTGTATCTAGTCCGTGCTCGGGCGGTTCGTACTGGTGTACAGCCACTGTACACCATATTGCTGCCGACCGATACATTGTCTTGCTTCTCCATACACAGGTATGTGCATGTGTGTGTGCTCGACCACTTGTCGTTGTTCTGTGTCCAACAAGCTTCGAGTTGTGTCCATTTTGCGGACTATACAATGATTGTTTTCTGTCCAGGTCGTCGCCGTTTACGTCGACTGTTCTCGTGGTACTGGACGTCATCGATGAGCAACAGCAACATCAAAAACAGCAGCAGCAAGTGTACTTCTTTGGTAACGTACGGGAGACTGGCTGGCTGAGATCGGCGTCTGCGAGGAAAGCGCAGCTTACGGCCACCCACGGCATTGGTGCGTGCTACGATCCGGAAGGGGCAGAGAAGCTGTTGGCTGCATTGCATTTATCGTTTCCTAGCGTTAAACTATCGAGTTTGGGCATGGACTGTGTGAAGAAGCAAAAAATAGGCTATTGTCGGGTCGCTGGGTTGAAGATAAGTGAGGTGGCAAAGCAACGGAAAACGCTGTCCGCCGAAGGGTTCTACGGGTCGAATATTGCAAAGTCGACAGCTGCAGACGTCTCAGATGTTGTCATGTCGAATAGCAATTGGTCATCGTTCTACCAAAAGCTGCAGTTCAGAGTATCGCATTCACTGATGTGCCAGCTTGAAGGCTCTGCGCCCATTTCATCGTCGTTCCCTCGGCAACAAGAAGCGTTTGATTTCGCGGATCAAGTCGCGGCCCTTCGACGCCGTGTATACGCTACTCGTGGTGTATTGCGAAATACTGAACACGATCTTAGGGACCATTTGCCCCGTGTATTCTCTTACGAGAGTGCAAAAGATGGCAAGCGACGTTTTCTCGTCGCCAGTTTTACTGAATTCTGGAAATGCTACATCAAAACCCACGTGAACCAACGGCACGTCTACGAGGTCATCCGTGAGGGTGTCCCCTGCCGTCTTTACTTCGACTTGGAGTTTAAACGTGCCATTAATTCTCAAGCAGATGGTGACGCGCTTGTGGCGAGGCTTTTATCGTTGCTCCAACTCCAGTTATATGTAAGTCGCTACGGTGTGCCAGTAGCCACAAACACGCTAATACTATCCCATAGCGCAGGTATGGCATCCACGTTTGCCAACGAAATATATATCAACTCGACTCGTCAACACCTGCCAAGTTCAGTCGTCACATCATCGTAGGTGATGCGTGATAATCATTCGCAAATTTAACCTCTCACAGCTAATTCGCGTTTTGCTGCGTAGCTTCACCTCCCAAATGACGACCTGTTCGCAGACAACTCTCACGCTGGAGCAGTAAGATGGTTGTCATGAAGCTGACGATATGCTGGTGATAGCTGACATCCGCTCTTTTGTATTCTCGTTTTGCCAGTTCGTGCGTGAGTTAGTAAACGACCTCGTGGGCTCCATCGCCAACGGAGGGGCACATTACGGCCAGTTGTTGACCCCATTTCTCGTCAACAGTGTGTCTGAAGATGACGCCGTTGGCGTAAAACAGCTTTTCATTGACACCGGTGTGTACACTCGAAACCGCATGTTTCGGGTGCTGGGCTCGTCGAAGTATAAGAAGCAGGCGATCTTATGCCCACTCAATGCATCACTCCCATCCACCGAGCTCGACCAAGCATTGTTTCTCAGCACTCTAGTGTGTCCATATCCAGATCTCACAGCGGTCAAACTTGAGCAGCAGACGAAGCCTTTCCGTCTTCTCCGCTGTAAGTCTTCTCATGCAGTCTCCCGTTCTGGACGACACTTGATTACCTCGGGTGCAAGGAGTATCGCTACCTCGTCGGTTGAGTGCCAAAGTTCTATTTACCCCGCGCTAGATGCCTTCGTTCGTTCTCGAGCGACTACGGGTGGGGTTCAGGGTGAAATCCGTGCAGTTCAGATGCTGTACCCCAGCAGTTTGGATGTACCGAATGCTATGCCTTGTGAAATGCTCGATCAAGAGCAGTCTGCAGCAATCAAAACTCCGAGCCCGCCGGACCCGTGGATGATCATATATCACATGATGCGAAATCGTTGGTGTGCGAATATTGGACGACCGCATAAGAGCAACAACGTCATGTACATTGTGGACATCGATCAGCGTGTGTTTTACCAAAAATGCCACGATCCGGTGTGTCATGCGATGGACTTCAGGTAAGGCAGATAATAATCAGGCGAATTGTTGCGATCACGCGTTATGATGCTGACGCACTGTCACTGTTGCTTCTGCAGGTCACCACCACAACCACTCCCAACGGAACTCAATTTTCTGCATCCAGATAGCGGAAGTTCGAATTGGCAATGTAGCTGATGCATTTCATCCAGGTGAAATGATGTGCTTCGACAGCTCATCGTTGTACACCGACTGACTTGCACCTCGTCACTGTCGCTCGACAAACATTTCAACGAGACTACGATGCACACAACGATGTCGTCCGATCTGCTCCGCACCGTCCCCATGCCGAATCCTGCCAACTACGTTGCGAGTCCGCCGGTGCTGCACGAGCGGTTGACTGAGTGCGAAAGCTCTTTTGCAATTGAATAGGGCGCCCGACTGGAACGCCTTCGAAGCCCATTATTACATGGGATATGTGGTATACACGTGCGAGACGTCCAGAATTGCTGAGCGCATTGTAAGATGATTGTGGAGAAATCTTCGTTGCGAATAAAGACACTCGACTACGCTATGGAGCTCCAGTGAAGGCACGTAAACAAGGGCGCAGACAATACGCAAAACTACGCTGCGGTACGACTGCTTTGACCTCGCGTGAGCAACCCATTTTCAGACAGAAAGAAAACACGATTGCATGGATATGCTGATCTCGAGGCGTCGGCCTTGGCCGAAGCACGCGCAAACGATCGCAAGTGATTTGACGACACGCAGAACTGTGCGCTGCGTCGGAGATCTCAAGGCTGCAATATTATCTAAATTTGACCACAGTTTCCGAACCACAATCGCCTACAAGTCCTGCAAACAAGATGACCGAAAACGGGGCCGAGAAGCGCTTGATCTCGTGGTGCAGTACAATCGCTTTGCTCCCGTCAAAAGTTACATCGCCATTCGTGTGCAGAGAATTGACTTTGCTGAAGACTGACTGCAAAGGCACAACACACGAGCCATCACAAGCACACATGTAAAACAAGGAACTGACCATGCTTTTTGCACACCGAGAGCCATAAATGAGCATCTGGACAATTGTAGCGTATAGTCGATGGTGCTAGAGACCCTGCAAATCTACTGAAGAGCGCAAGTAACGATGTCCGCGACCGGTACATTTTGATGTAATCGTGTGGGCACATCAAGTAACCAACCGACCATGTAGTGAGACTGATGTGGCTAACGCACGACTTGTGCACAGTCATTGACTTTTGATGAATCGACCTTGCCAGCTGCAGTCTTGTCGCTTGTCCAGGACATCAGTCCATCGGGTACAGCTGTATCATTTTTACCTGTCTACCGTGCGCTGGATTAAAAGCGCTTGGTACGACAAGAGCTGGAGCCATTTCCTTGCAACTAAGTGTCTGTCAGGGCTGAATTTGAACGACATGCAGGTGGACACTGCCGGTTGCAAACGGAGTATATCGAGCCAAAGCAAACGGAGTCTTTCCGAGCGAGCGTGCAGCGGAGTAATGGACTCTGGTTTTTCGGTTCCAATTCGCGTCTGCCGAAGCTCGGAGGTACTTTTCCTCAAACTAATTGCCGTAGACCCCAACTGAGAATTGACAAGAACGCTGGTGTGTGGTCCATGGCACGTGAAGTACGGCAGGATCTCAAGGTTCAATCTAGAATGTTGACTTATCCAGATTAGACATTGACGTCCCGCCGAACATTACGTGCTATAGGTTGTTGAATTCTTTCCTTGGAACCATTGCCGGGCTTGTCGTTGGATATCACTGTGCTTTCGCTTCGTCAAGGCCAAACGCGTCCATGCAATTTCGATACACTGCTGCAGCTACTTCGTCCAGCGTTACGCCTCGGATCTTTGCCGCGCCTTGCAGCGCAAGTTTGACAAGCGCAGGTTCGTTGACACCTGCTGAGCCCTCTTGCAGCACCAGTGGTCCTTCATCTGCCTGGGTAAACGCCTGTTCTACAATTTCCACTGAAGGTGCTTGATCCGGGGCGTCAGTTTCGAGCAGCAGTGCCCCAAGTGGTGATTCCTTGCAACAAGTAGCGGCCTTTTTCATCCGCGGGTCCGTCAACTGCTTGGCGTTCAGCGAGATAAAGACTCTGGTATTGCGTAGCGCAAGAAAAGATCGCATCATATCTGGCGATCCGCTGTAGGAGTGCAGCACGAGAACTGGGGGCAATTGTGGTGTAGCTCCAAGTAGGACCTCTAGCAACTTGCCGTAGTAGCCCACGCAATGCACCACACAGGTTCTTTCTAGCTCCACCGCCAGCTGCAGCTGTGCTTGGAACACTTTCACTTGCACATCTAGTGGCACTGTTTGTCCTCGAGCGCTTTTACACAGTCCGATTTCCCCCACCTGCATGACATATTCAGTTCAACACGATTGCCAACATGACGACAGAACGCACGTTGAAGTCCATGATGCGTGACCAACATTACTAGTCGCACATACACTTGCGCTTGGGTACAGTGTCAACATGTCGCGCAGTGACGCTAAGGTGTCTGTCGTTCTAGATGTCAGGTCTAGTGCCCACCAGGGGTGCAGCCCAAAAGCTGGTACAATCACCAACGAGCGGTCGCTCATTGCCCGTTGTTGCTCCATGAGCTGCTGTAAGACGTGCCAATCGTGTTCGTGCGTGGCACAAGACACGACGTGGCTCAGGTGGGCTACACGAGCCCTTGCGAGCACACCTTTGAGTCGTTGACGGCTCGACGGAGAGCTTGGAGACCCCAGGCGATCGTCGTGTAGGTGGCAATGAGCGTCGATGAGTCGGCGTATCGTCATACGGCGATAGAGGTGCTCAAGGTGACGTTGCGTGGGGGCAAGTGCCGAAGGTAGTTCTTCCAGTGGCGACTCGAGATCGATAGTGTACTGTGCGATATCTGCGCTTAGTATACAGCTTCGAGTCTCAAATCAGAACAAAGGAGTGGGAAGCGTGCGACGAGAGCGCCGGCAGTGAACCAGACCCTGTGGGAGCCGTCTAAGACGGTGCGACAAGAGTCAGGGGCGTGGACAGGGCGCGGCGTTGAAGCGAAAACATTAACGACCATCGTGCCAGGCCTTCGCCGCCTTTGCGATAGCGTGTTCATTGTTGGTGCGTAACGCAGGTTTCTAGCGGTCTGATCTGTACAATAGCGATGCCGGACGACTCAACGTTCGCTTCGCTATCAACACACGCATATACCATGTCGAGTACGAGTATGCGGGTCTCCTGACGGACGACATGCAATACATGGAGAAAGTGGAGGAAACGTCACTAAAAACGATACCTGAACGCAGATTGTTGTTGTTGCTGCACATACGGACTATGCGTCGAGTTTCGCCAAGCCGAGGATCACAACAATCTGCATACCGAGGATTCGCGGTTGCGTTGCTATTGCTGCCGACGAAAGGTATGGCCAACTGTTTGTGCGGAGCTGCGGATATAGCATATTGTGGAGTAATTAATAGACCAGCACGGACTGCAATGCGCTCAAAGAAAGAAGCGGACATGGAGGAAAAAGAGGACATAGGGGGGCGGAGAACCTTGAATAAAAGGTGGTGTCATTTCTGTGCCGGAAGACCAACTGGGCCGAGTGTCGTTTACGGTGGATGGATCGCAAAGGTAGGCGAACCTGGTTACTGGAACGCCATGAGCCTGTTACACGACGCACTCGTTAACTTAAATGTGGATGTCAATGTTTCTTAGCGGAAAACACAACACTATGTATCCGAGAATAATATCTTTGTAGGCACTGGTCAAAGAATATAACACCTAACAAGACCGCTTTTGACGGTCGTAGACAACGCGCAGCACATTACTTGTCATTAATACACAGGCCGTTGAGTCTGCCGATAATGTCGTCAAATAGTGACAGACGCGCGCGGAGAGTGTTAAGGAAACACTCAGCATGTATATTCGTGCGTTGATTCCGCGACAGGTAGTTTTACAATCATATATTTATAGACTATTTTAAAGTAATAAAGACAGCTTATCTTTTTCCTTCCACCAGGCTCCTTCCGTTCACTTAACTGCCCTTTCTCTGCACGTGCCAGTTTACATGAGGTGGTCTTGAAGCACCCATCTTCACTGTCATTACAGTTGATCGTAATTCTAATATTAGTGTAGGTCGTTTGTGCTACCATCAATATAATCGTCATACGCCCTGGAGCACCGGATGCACTTCGAGGTCTGTCTAATGATCACAATCTATCTAATATGGACATGATGAGTGAGGATGGACGATAAATTACGGGCCAAGGCTTTGACCTGTATAGGTGATCACGTATGAGATGCGGCAAACCGTATAAATTAGACAATCATTGGACCGGGTGCATGTAAGCATATTGCTTGACTGAAAAACATGCTGTATACAGCGGTTGCCAAGATCATATAACAATGGACAAAATCTAGATGATAAGAACGAGGCATTCCGTTCCAATACATGGAGATAATCAAAGATCAATCCAAATCTTAATGTTATAGATAACACTCGTGAAAACTAGTTAAGAAGGTAGTATATGACGATTCCTACACATTGGTCGGTATAAACTATTACTATCAATCAACCAGACCGCCCAAATTATAGTGGACGCGCACGATGAATGACTTACAGATAGATACATTTGTGTCTGTATGCAATGGGAAAGGTTTTGACGCATTATGTTGATTAGGTTAGCTATACTGTGTATAGCTCTCTTTCCTTAGCCAGTTTTGTCCCGTCTAGTCTCCTCCAAACATTTATTGGAGTAAATTGTTGCGGTAATGAGCGAATGAGTACGGCCGTTGGCGTACCTGCCGTCAACGCCATGTTATTTACTTTGAAAGGATGTGAGCAACATGATGCAATAACCAGGTTCATACAGAATAAATTTAATGAGGATCAGGTCAAAGTAACCTTGTTTTACCAGCTAGGTGTCGATAATGTTGGCGGAGAGATGATGTAAAATAGATAGTTATCGGTTAAAGCAGCAAAATCAAAAGTGAATTGCATTTTAATGGCAGTTTTTCTATTGTCGATGCTCATCTTACCTCATCAATTCTTCGTTCCGACTGTCCCATCAAGCCGCTGTTCCTAAATCATTACGGTTTCTTCATGTGGCACACAGCTCTTCATTTTTGTGTGTGACAAAAATGGAAAACGTCACTGACTAGCAGGACAGTGCTGGTAAACCCCAAACGCCAGGACCCTAAAATCGTAACTTCCGCAGCCGTTTATCCATCCGGTGACCTCTGGAATAGTTCTACCTATATTACCACTTGAGATGCAGTGTGCATATATTTTGCACTTACTTTTTTACGATATTGTTGTACTGCTTAGAGCATTTTCTGACACACATGAACAGACTTATCCATACGCACATGTCGCGGCACCTAATGCCAGCACGATGATTACAGGAAACCTGATAAGAGAACAGGGTGCTGAAAATCTCGAGCTGTTTATACAGCAGCAAGCCAGGTTGATGCTTCTGGGTCGATACACGCACGTCAGCCAGAACGATTGTAGAATTGACATCTCCAAGTACATAATTTGTCACGGAGAGTTTTCTTTAAAATATAAAATGCTGAGTTAGACAGAGCCCTAAGTATTTCTTGTACCACTCACAAGAGATTAGAGTCACTTTTTACCAGTCAAAAGTGACTGGACGTGTCAAGTCTTATGCCCTAACGCTTAAGATGCACGACCCATGTTCTTTAAAGTTCTTCGAGAAACGTTTCACACAGGCGTTTGATTCACTGAGGGGTGAGTCGAGGGCTCGATCCGACCTCATGAAACTCAGACAGGGCATGGGTGAGGTACACACTTTCGCTCAGCACATTCGTCATCCTGCGAGGTGCATCACGACTTAACCGGTTCATAAACACAAGCTGCATGGTTTGTATATAACCGTGGATACTCATATGTTCCCAATAAACCTGGATACACTACAACAAAAAATATATGTGGCAAAAGCGGGGGAACTTATCCTCATACATGCTCACGTCAACTCAGGTGTCTATCATCCTTCGAGACGTCATAGGTTTGGATGATTAAAAATGAAAGACCACTCCTATATGGATAGTGTACGAAAATGTTTTTGAGAAAACAAACGCTTGCAGAAATGCAATCGATGTCAGAAAACATGGCAGAACGAATGTACATGTAATGTCATGAACTATAGATGGGTAAATACAGCACACAACGACCGTTTGTTAGCCAAGAAGGACCCGAGACTTGGACCTGACGCTATTACAAAGTCGCAATAGCATTGCAGAATGTCAAAAACAGTCGGGGTCAGTAGGAGCGGAGTAAGATACTGATCCATTTGAAACAAGCGAGTTTGCAGCTTCTTGACATATAGAATAATTTAAAGACACGGTGTCTTTCGTCACTTTGTTCTTTAAGGTGAAATGTGGCACCTTATAAGAAAGCATCTTGTACAAAGTTCAATCAATTAATGCACCGGAAAACTGTGGGGCGCCTATAGATTTTAATCGGCGCCAATCTCAATAATTGTAGTCTTTGGATTTAATAAGCGCGAGACCTCTCCTACAAGGGTGTTGGTATACATTGCTAAAGCCGCATCCTTAATCGTAAACAAACGTGTTTTGGGATTCATTACGCATTAGGCGATGAACTGTACAACAATATTTGGGCATTGTATTGACATTGGAGCACAAATTTGATGTCACTCCCACAAAGTATAGATCATTGGTATTGAGCCATATTTCATCTCGCATTGTCGATCCGTGAAGAAGCCTGGCACTTGTTATTAAGATTACTATAGAATAAACGACTTGGAGAGTTTACAAGTGTGTCGTTGTTCTACTAGTAAGAGAGATAACCTTACTTATACTTGGTGTTCAAAATAAACAAGCCAAGGACTCAGCTTAGTTTACCACTACGCTATGGAGAATTCTTACTTCGGTTGTGTCAAAATAAAAGCAGCACCAAAAGTTTGCCACTTACATATGTTGAGAGATCCGGGACATGGATTCTTGCATAGAGGACAACATACAAGGTAGTCAATTTCAACTTATTTGAGGAGATCATGAAAAAAACGGTCGACCAAAAAGTCTTCCATTTATTACCTAGCTGTCGTTGCAGAACCGCCACATCCGGATGAAGTCGAGAAACATTTTCATATAGGCCAGAGGAAATAGGATCCCAGGAACCTGGGGTAATAAAATCTCGGGAGGAAGCCGAAACGTTGAATGTTTTGGCGTGAAAAGGATCAAGTGTAGGCGTTAGTACACTTCGTCTGATAATGCCTTTGAAGCTATCTTCAGGGATTACTCAATTAACGACGCTAATCCTAGAAGGTTCTTGCGCGATCTGCGTGGTGGTAAGGTCAAGTCGATCTGCGCACTTGTCGCAGAACAAGTATCTTATATATTTTATCAGCATGGTTTTTCATACAGCCAACGGGTTTTTAGAAGCTAGTCCATGTACTAAAATTTCTAGACTAACACGCGAATCGTTTAACTCGATCAATTCGTATCGAGTTGAGCGATAAACGTCTTAATTATGGCAGTACCCGAAATAATATATTATATACAACATTTTGATCAAATTTTAATGATCGATTCCCTTAATTCTTGACTTCTAATTGAATCATGATGAGGGAACTAGTCACGAAACTAACATGAAACACGGTTCGGAGATCTATGCCTTGAAGCAGTTACCACTGCCTCGTAAACAAACTGTTGCAATTAACGTGCTTTGTAACAATCGCTTAGCAGCAGGTCATGTCAGGTTGTAACATACTTAACAAAGCGCACCGACACACTGTTATCGACAGTTCACAGAAAGATGACGGATCTT